AAGATATAATACTTAGTATCTTTATATACTATTTATTATTTGCCTCTTAGCTCTAACATAAATCATTACAAAAACCTTTTTGTTAAGTCTTAATTCTAGACACTATATAACAAGCTATAAAGTTATAGTCTTCATACTATAATTAACAGTCTCTAGGAACTCTAGAAAAAGTGAATTCCTTGTTTAATACTGATTAATAGTTTTTAGATTAATTATAGATTGATTATTGATTAAAGTTTTTGGTTAATTTGATCTGAATTCAATCAAAAATTTGAAATTCAACTTCTAATTAAAGATTGAATTTATCTTTTCAACTAGTAATTTAGAAAAGCTAATTATTTTCTACAAGTGTATTATAAAAGCTTATATTAGTTACTATAACATTAATTAGGATTTTATTTCTCTAATAATAAAAAAAAATTTAAAATTTTTCTGATTATCTTTTTACTTTCTTTATATATATTTATTATATTCATAGTAGTAAAATAGCAATTTTTATTTCTAACTCCTTCAACAGATACAACAATACAATACTTCTAAAAAATTTACTTTTAACAATAAAAAAAATAAATTTTTCTTAAATCTAAATATTATATTAAAGAGCAGTAGATTTATTCATAGTTTGTAAATTTATTTATTTATTTTTTTTTTAGGTTTTAAAGAGTAGGTTTGGCCTTGGTTTTTATTAAATAGTTCAAAATATATATAGCATTTTTACATATATTACATTTATTCTATTACTTTAACTTGAGCTAGAGCTAGTTTACCCTATAGCCTATACTCTACTAGAGTGAACATGCAGGACCTTCTCTAGATTAATAAATTTGCTATGTAGTTAGAAAAGGTATTATTATAAAGAAAAAGGTTTGACCATATAGTGAATTTCTTATTTATAAGTAATGTTGAAGTTATAGTATTTGAGATGAGTTCTTGTGAGTTGTTATTAGTTATTGTAATTGGAGAAAGGTTAATTATTATATTTCTTGTGTTGGTGTTTGTGAGTGAAGTTGGAGTAGTTTGTTGTAAATTTATACATCTGGTAATCTAGAGGTTGTTGTAGATAGATTTGGTAATTTTATGTAATAATGTTGCAGCAGGATCCTTTTTTGTATTATCTGTTGTAGATTTTAGTAGAGTTAATAATGTTGTTAAAATTAGATACTGTAAGATATTTAGATTTGGTATATTGGAGTTAGTGTTATATAATATATCGATTATATTTTGAGTAACTATTGTATTAGATATAGAGTTATTAGAGTAATTCGATATGAATTTTATGCAGATAGTTGTGATTATGGTAAGTAATGAGTGTGTATTTGTTGAACAGATAAGCCAGTGTGAGTTGTATTTAGTATTTGTTTTACATTGTATACATAGATCTGAAGTATATTTAGATGGGTTACAGATATGTAGGTTTTGTATTGTTAGTTTGAATATGGATATAATGAGATTATGGTCAGTTACGATGGTTATGTGCAGGTTAAAGGGCATAACATATAGGTAAAGGACAGCTTCTATGATGAACAATAATAATTAAATTTTGTATTTTATTGTCTGAAGATTTGTGATGTTTCATTAATTTTTCTTGTTTTTTTTTATATGGTATGATTTATTTTGTATATCAGAAGGAAATATTAAAACATTTTGAATATTAATATATATCTAACTTATTTTTTACTAAGATGAGCTATCTTTTATTCTCTAAATTAGAACGAAATTTCATATTTCATTATTATTTTAAAACTAATAAAGATTTACTTTTGACAAAGTTATGTATTCAAATTGTACAAACTTTACAGAACTTTAATTTGGCACTCACAGCAACTTTATTCTTTTTTCTGACTATATCATATCAATTATTTACTTTTTTTGTCTATATCTCCTAGGTGGGTATTATGTATGATAGAATATGAGAATCATAAAATACCTAAATATTCATCTCAAATTTTTTCATATGTATTGGTTTATAATAAATCCAAATGTTACATCCGTTAATTTTTCGAGAACTATTGAAATTTCATCTAGTGCTGGGCGTTGATCTGGTTCAAAAGACCAACATCTTTCGTAGAGGTTAACATAACCTTGAGGTATATTGGTAACAGTTTTTTCTATATCATGATTCGCAATTCTTAACATTTTATCCACAAAAGACAATTTGTAAAACGGAGAAACACCACTCGTGAGCTCCCAGAGTAATACACCTAAACTATAAACATCCGATTTTCTATTAGGTTTAAATCTTTTTTCATTTAGAATGTATTGCGGATCAATGTATGCTACCATCTCTTGTGTATTTGAGCTTGACAATGTGAAGATATCATCGAGCTGTTTAATCATACAAAAATCCGAAATCATGACTTGGCCATCATTTATTAGAATATTATTAGGATGCTAGAGAAATTTGTGGTAAATATTTTAGAATTGATAAAAGAAATTTAAAAATTAAAAATATAGATTACCAAGTCCCGATGAATAATTCCGTTTAAATGTAAATGTTTTAATCCATTGGCAATTTCCTTTGCAATTTGAATGAGTTCAACCCATGAAATTTTATAAGAACCATCATTTTGTTTTGACTGTAAATAATCCCGTAAGGTTCCATTATTTGCATATTGTAGCACCATCATGAAGTTGCCCATTTTTAGATCTAAATATTATTAATGTAAATAAGCGAGTGAACACCAGTTTTTTATATTAATTAAATGCTATAAAATACCTCTAGAAATTCCATAAAATTTGACAATATTAGGATGATCAATATCATAAAAATCTTGAAGCTACACGTAATTATTTCATTTATTAGCTTTAAACTAGAATCAAATAAATACTTAATTACGGACCACTCTAGTATAGGCCACACCATTAATAAGATTCACTAATAATCAATTGATTTAAAATAAGTATGGCTTATACTAAATTTGGATTCTAAACTACCTCACGTATGAATTCTTCAATGCTTTCATCATCAACACGTAGGTTATTATTCAGACTTTTTAATGCATATGATTTTTCTTCAAAAATTGCTGAGTATACCATTGCGCACCTCCCGCTTCCAATAAATTTGTGGTCGCTAAATTGCGAAGAATCATAGCTTCTTAGATTACATTCTATCATACACCTTACTAACTTTTCTGAATGTTCAGATACTATATTCAAAAATATTTATGCATTAATAGATTGATATCCACTACTAATTTCTACAATACTTACTTATTTTTACCGATTGGCTAGATTTCCAAGTATCTTCATAAAGTCTTGCTGGAGTCGCATTTTGTTGTATGTATTCTGGTGTTATATCAGCTTGCTGTATAATATTTGACTGTATATCGAAATTCACTGTAAAGACGTTATGTGTTGGCATATTATAAGGCTGTTGTATACATGTTGGCATTGAATGGGGTAACTGCTGTATATTTGGTGTCAGTTGCGTAGATTGTAGTAGCAGTTGTATATTAGAAAAACCTTGTGTAGAATTATTCATGATCGTTGCTCTTTCTCTAAAACCTTCCGAAGGCACAAATCACTTTGTCTCTTAATTTTTTTTCTTGAATAGTAGATATTTAGCATAAAATAGAGAATAAAGTTATGTGTCCTTATAAGTGAGTTTTAAAATTGGCGTAACATATAGGATTATATATAAGCCGAACGTTTGATGGTACGTTACATAGAGAATTTAAATGGAATATTATTTAGATACCAGATATAAACGGATTAATTACTTCCGCTTTAGATTTTATTTAGAAAATTTTAGTATAAAGAGAAATTAAACTGTAACGCTAATTCTTTACATGATCAATTTTTCTCTATTTTGGGGGATAAATTATTAAATGTTAAACTAAATTTCAGTCCATTCGAGAAATTTAATTGAAGATTCATTAATAGGACAAAAAAAAAAAAAAAAAAAGAGTAATTTGCTCAAACATGACTAGTAACTCGTTAAATGATACACGTAAGTTATTGTAATATTTTGCATTAATTAGTATAGAATCTGATATATTAATGCCATAAATTTTTATTAGTATCTGGGCATATTAAAAAGATAGAAACATGCATAAAAATATATAATATAAAAAAACTAGATTATTCACTATTTAGAGACCATAAACATATAGGGACAGGAGCATCTGCATTGGTATACCTAGCAAATGCACAAGAAAAAGTATACGCACTAAAAAACCTTAATACTAACCTTAGCATGAACGAAAAAACTATCCGAAAATTTATTCGTGAGGTATTACGTTTTGTTGTCGTTTAGTATTTTGTATAAGTCCTATTATAATAAAATAAATACATGTAGATTAAAATTCTTTCTGGAATCTCACATCCTAACATCATCAAACTATATGGGGTTTCGATCGGTATGATGTTTAATCTTGAAAATCTATTTCTTAATAATGATAATTTACTTATATATCTAAAATAAACTTATAGATATAAATAAAAGTAGTTTCATAATGGTATTGCAATATGCTAATAATGGAACCCTACGGGAATATTTACAAGCAAAACAAGATAATGGAATTTATAAAATCGCATGTGCCGAACTCTTTAAAATTGCGAAAGATATTGTTAATGGACTGAAATTACTACATAATAAACAAATAATTCATCTGGATCTGGTAAAATATAATTTTTTAATTTTTACACTAAATTTAATTATCAATTCTAAAATTGCTGCAAATTTTTCAAGCATTCTAAGAACATTCTTATAAACGATGGCCAAGCCTTGATTTCAGATTTTGGAATATCTCAAGAATTTGACAATAACTCTTCGTGTTCACATTTACAAGGAAGGGTAGAATACATAGATCCACAATACCTTCGGGATGAAAAAAATTATAAACGCAATGAAAAATCGGATATTTATAGTCTAGGCGTGTTATTCTGGGAACTTACGAGTGGAATTCCTCCATTTAGTAACCTATCCTATACAGAAAAATTAATAGGAATTTTAACAAACCATATTAGAGAAAAAATTGTTGTCAAAACGCCTAAAGATTTTGCTAACCTCTACGAAAGATGCTGGTCTTCAACCCCACAAAGCCGTCCAACAATAAATGAGGTTTCAATAGCGCTTGAAAAGTTATCATTAGAAATAGCCAAAACAACCAATAAATTTATTATAAATCATATTATAAATCCTATTATAAATCCTATTATAAATCCTATTACTGTAAATACGAATCATATTCTGGAGTTCCCTGATGAAATCAAGATGGCGATTTTCATTCTTGTTTCGTCTCCCCGAAACCTCATTTTTTCTTGTAAAGAATGGTATAGAATTTCCAAGGATACTTATTGTAGGGTCAAATGGCTCTTCCAACGGTTCGGCCGAGCTCATTCCTTGTTTCATGCGATTCGTTTAGGGCCATCGTTTGCTAGTGCTAATGTGATCAAGGAAATTCTTGAAGGGGGTGGATTAATTTCACTATATTTTATTCAAAAGCTTTTACTGCATTTTGGAAAATATGATCAGCTGCATTATTTACAAGGTTTAAGCAACATAAATGCCAAAAAATTTATTCCTTGGGCAAGTGATTTGCCCATTCTAGAATTTATCTACATCCTGGAATATGCCGGAAAAAGATTTGGCGATTGTTTTCGGCAATCTAGAAATAATGATATGGAATTATTTCATTATCTAAGCGGAGGGCCCCATGACATTTATGAAGCCAGAACAATATTATTCAACAATTTAGAGTTGATTAAGGAGGTTATTTCAAAACGGAAGTTTATTCCGTTTCCTCCAAGGCCAAAGAGTGGATCGTCACACGATATAAATTCAGAAGAATATCCAGCAAGAGATGGTTATGAAAATTCTGGGGAACTAAGGATAATAGCTCGAGCAATCTTAATTTGCAAAGATCTAGTCCTTACTTGGAAAGAAATTGGTTATCATGATATTGTGTATGATGTAAATGATCATGTTATTCAAGGAACCTTTCATCTCTTATTTCCTCTGGTTCCATCACGGGACTACAATATGCCAAACGAAAGCGTAATAATAATAAGACTTCAGGAATTATTTGATTTAGGGTTTAAATTGACCGATGCGATCATATATGACATTTTACAGTTCTTTAAATCTAGGTTGAATATTATTGGTAAAATAATTGTCAACTCTTTCATTTCAATTAAACAAAAGGAATGTGATTTCCATATTTCAATCCGACGATTACGCGTGGATTTTTTCAATAAAATTGTTATTGAAGCGATTAAACCACAAAGCGACACCACGATTGAATTTTTAAATTTTTTATACGAAAATATTGGAAATAATTTTGATGCCAAATTTATTTTCAAGAGTGCGATACATCACATAAAAACAAATTCATTTCATGTGAATGATGGAAAGGGAGATAATATGCCTTGGTGTAAACCATTACCGTTTAACTTAGTTTGTTATTATTGGATTGTTGAAAAATTTTCTGAGGATTCTGAAATTGCTGATATGTTGATAATTTAAAGCAAATTTATGATGAAATGTTTAATAAAATTTTATTATAGCGTAAAGAAATTAATCTTAAACTTTTCAAGCAAGTATTTATTCGAACTTCAAATAACTTTGCCAAGAAAGAAACCGAAAAAGAGGAAACCCAAGAAAATAGATAACATGATAGGAAACGATTTAAAAAAAGACTTAATAATTAACTTTGCCATAAACTATTGATGATGCAAATATTTATCATAAATTCGAATAGGAAAACAAAAGGGAGAGGAACAGAAATTTCAAAAATGGATTATTGAAAATCAAAGTACTGCATCTAGAAATGAGTAGTGTGCTGTATTGTAATATATTGGTATCAATTTTAGTGTATTTCTAGTATAATTAATTTTTTATGATTGCCCGGAGCGGAGTGGAGGTCTTTACCTTCCAGACCTGTTATTATTTTACAGGGGTATCAAAGGTATGGATATTAAAACTTCCAGTTTAGTCTGAGAATTAATGCAGGGCAACCGTTACAGGATACACATGACCCTCTAATATCAACCTATTTGAATTGGTTTTAAACCATGTTGATATTGATATTAACGAGAAATCATATTAAAGTTGATATATATGAGGGAATTTTAATATATAAAAATTTATAAAAATTTGATTTGTGGCTTAGGTTGATATGATATTAACGAGGGTCACGTGTACTTTGCAATAAAAAACATTCCTTTTCTATCTTACAAAGCAATAAAGTCATGGGAAAAGAATTAATAAAATACAATATATGCATTATCATAAAAAATGTCGGTTTGATGTTGATATATCCAAATATCGATATTACCAGAGTAATACTTCTGTGCCCTGCTCCCTAATTATTGGCTAACTGGAAATAATTGTTACAAATACATTTTTTCAAAAATATATAGATTAATTCAATGCCTAAATTCTATAACTGTAAACTATTAGATAACTAAGTGATCTTATCTTAATAAATAGTACTTATCCGTTATTATTTCTTCATTGTTTTAGTGGTTTTCGTATTTATACCAGGAGCGAATGTAAATGAGGGTATGGTTTATATGGCGATATTGGTGTATAGTTTACTGTACAATTCTCAGCACTTGATTGGTCCGCGTGACTCTGTTCGTCACATATTGTTATGCGTTGTCAATTTTCACACGCCATTTCTCACACCTTATATACGTATGTTGATGGGCTGAATAGGAGTCCGGGTAGGTCGGACGATGGTCTCACCACTAATATCCTACAACCTACCACAAAACTAACAATAACACTAATAGTGGAAGGCAGAAAGAGGGCGTGGAGGATTTGGTCCGGGTTTATCAGGGTCAAGGTCAGTTTATATATAATCGGGGGGAGGTTAATTGTGGATTTAACGAATGTGGTATCGGGGTTACTATGGGAAGGTATTTTATTTCTCAAATCTGAGATTGTTTTATTGAACTCGCAGTGAGCTGAGTTATTTTATTTGAGGGTAAAAGGTATCGCTTTTATACTTTTCGCGATACTAGTAAATACATTTGAATAAAATAAATTTGATAAATTCGATAACTAAACATGGAGAAGATTGACACAAATCTACGGCGAGGCTTCTAATTATACATGTTTGACAATAAACAGGCTAAACAAGAATCTACAAACTAAAAATAGGACATAGTACCACGTCGGAGTGTAGTATTTCCAGAGGGCCTTTACAATGTGCGATAACTTGACTATTGCCTTATTGAGTTAGAATCTCTATATATGGAAGGTTTTAATCTGATTATGTATTGTGAGACGTGAAAGTACCAGAAGACACATGAGGGTCGGAGGTCAGAGTGCCGCAGTATCTACATACGGATATGCAGATCTCTAACCTTTAATGGGGTTTCCATGAATAAAAAAGCTAAAACTCTTTTATATAATAAAAGATATGTGAGAGTTTTAGTAGGAAAAAGGAATTAAGATGAGAAAGAAAGTATAGGGAATTAATAGGTTTTAGTGATTTTAAGACATTTAGAACATTAGAGTATTAAAATAAATTTAAGTACTATAAGTAATAAAAAAGTTATGTAAAACATAGGATATAATATGTATTGTGAGATAGGAAAAGTAGCTTCGGAAACACATGAAGGTCAGAAGTCTATATGTCACAGTATCTGCATATAGGTATGCAGATCTTTTGCCTTTAATAGGTTTCTTGAGAATAAAAGAGTTAAAAGTCTTATAAGTATTAAAAGAGTTATAAGAGTTTTAATACATATAAGAAATAAAAGCATAAAAGAAATTAAAAAGTTTTAAGTATTATAAGAAGTTTAATAGTTAAAATGTGTTTAAGTATTAAAAGAGTTATAAGAAACATAGTTATATAAATATATATAATAAAAGCAAGTTTGCTCATAATAAAGAATAACTCTTTGTAGTTTTACTATTAAAAACTAGAATCCTTTATTAAAATAAATATTGATTTCTAATATATTAAACTCTGAATAAACTATACTTCTACTAAATTAATTTTTTCTTTTAACTTCTATAACCTAATTCATCATTAAATTGATATACAGTATATTTACTGTGTCTTGTCTATATGATACATATATTGTAAATTGTTTAGTTAATCTTGATATACTAAAATTAACTGTGGTCTTTGATTCTAACTAACTCAATGTACTGAGGTTAGTTGTAGTTATTTTATTTAGTTCTAGTTATCTAACATACTGTAGTAACTATTGTTCTAATAATTGGAATACTTGATAAACAATAGTATTTATTCTTTACAAATTAAAGTCTATAGATGATCTATCTCTAGTAAGTAGATGTTTGATTTTAGTGGTATTATCTTTAAAGATTTGAACCTTAGAAGATTAAAAACAACTACTTATCTATGAGCCTAAATCACTAACTAAATATAAACACTCTCTTTTAACAAGCTTTTCATAGATTATAAGGAGTTTTCTATAACTAAATAACTAACTTACTATATAAACCTACTGTTTTCAGTATATAATAAGAGCAAGTTTACTTATAATAAAAATAACTTCATAGTTTTGCTTTTAAAACTGAGTTTTTATTGAATAATTATTAACTTCTAAATATATTTTACTCTGAATAATTAATATTATTAAATTAATATACAGTATATTTATTATTATCTTATCTATATAATATCTACTCTGTAATCTGTTTGGTTAATTTTAATGTACTAAGATTAATTATAGTCTTTGTATCTAACTAGTTTAATATACTATAGTTAGTTAAAGTTATTTAATAAAGTCTAGTTACCTAATATACTATAGTAATTGTAGTTTCAAGTATTAGAATATCTGATATACTGTAGTATTTATTCTTCAAAGTTAAAACCTCCAAATCATTAATTCTAATTAAGTAGAAAAATAATATTAGTATATTACTCTAAAAACTCAAATAATAGAAAATAACTAGAGCTACTTATTTATAAGCTCTAAATACTAACTAAATCTAATTACTCATTTTTGATAAACTATTTGTAGATTATAAAAAGTTTCCTATAGTTAAATGACTAACTTACTGTATAAACTAATTGTTTCAGTATGTAGTATTGAATCTTGTCTGTTCTTATAACTATTTTTATAAAGCTTATTACTCTTGTTTAGTATCTTTTTGATCTGTTAACTTTAGTTAACTTGAGTTCTATCTCAGAATAACTATAAATATTATCATTATATTAAGGTATATACTGATCATTTGATAATATTAATTATTTTGTTCTAACTAAATATATATATATATCTTGTACTGAATTTCTAGTAGTAAAGCTAGTATGTATTATGCCAAATTCAAGTAATTCAAAACTTAGCTAAAATAAATATTATTAATAAATCAAATATATTCTACTGATTATTATAAACTTTGTTAGGTAAATATTCAAAAATGCATAAAATTTTAAATTGTTTTTTATTTATATTAGTATTTAAATTTATTATTGCTTGATTATATACTTTATTACTATATAATGAAAAAATATATAGAAATAAGTTTACTATCTGAGTAAGCTCTAATTATATATTCATCTTTAATATATATAAAGAATACTTCTAAAACTATATTATAATTATTCAAAGTATTTTTCTAATATAGCCAAGCTATAACCTGCTGACCTTTTAGCTTTTAAATTTGCTAAACCTTCAAGATTCCAATACTTATATTTCTATTTAAGAAAACAAAGTAGACAAGAAAACAAATAGATATCTATAGAGATCTAGTAACCAAGTATAGTAGTTAGATTGTTGGACTATATGCAATAGGTCTGGAGTTCAAATTCTACTGTCAATAAATTTGAATAATTTCTTAGACCTTGTGATATGTTACAGTAAACCCTATTCATTTTTGAAGCATATTCCTGTAAATTGAATTGTACTAAATTGATTAGAACTTGAAAGTATAGCATAATATTATATGAATAAATCTTGATAGAATATACAAGCAGAGAACCTGCATAGTAGAAATCTCAAGTTGGTAAAGTAGTACATATTTCTGATAGAACTATATCAGCTAAAGTCTGATCTGAAAAGAAAACTTAGTCTAATAAAGGTAGAAAGTTTCAAGATCTCTAGGCAATGAGTAACTAGGACTGACTAGATACTAGAAAAAGACTAGGTCGACTGACTAGTGGAGGACTACAGTAGAATCTGGAGTTGTACAAATATCTACAAGGGTCTAAGCTAAATAAATCTGTAAAATAGGTACAGACTACTCTAGTAGATTTGCTTTGAGGTTAACTAGCTTTGCAATACTAGTAATGTGTC